ACACTTTAGACACGAGTTTTATATGTTTAGGTATAGAAGTTTATAAAACGCGTTACGTACTATACTTTTTCTACGAAAATTGTGGACAGTATAGAAAAACTTAACGTCCTCACAAAAGGATCCTACACTGTTGTGTTTTCGCCATTCATTAAAAATATAAGCTCTGTTGTAGTGATACCGTGATTTCTCAAGTAATAAGTCACCGATGACTTCTGGTGCCGCTTTCATTATTTGAGGAGTAATAATACAATTTTTCTCTTCACTATCATGTTCTGTATCCATTTTTGAAAAATAGGAACTCGTCTTACGATGAATGTCACAATGAAAAAGGTCAAACTAACAACTTGATTTAGTCAACAAAATTCAAACCGTGTTTAAAGAACCTTCGAGCGTGTTTAATTGCCGAAAACACTCGAATAGGCACCAATTTGTATCTAATGAGTAGTCATATTTAAAATGACGGTTCGCACACTATAATTAGTCAGTGCAAAATGTGACATTTTAAAGAAGTGACTAGAAATAGTTATTTGTACAACTAGAGAAGAAAGTGGCGTTTTTCATCTCGAGTTCAAAGTTTCAATTGACACACTCGCTACGCTCATGTGTCAATTGAACGATTGACGATTAAAAAAATGTTGTAAAAAGTCTCATTTTACCTGAAATACCTGCTCCAAAATGCCAGCCAGCTCTCCCACTAAAACGGTTTGGGTGCACGTTTGCCACAAATATTGCCAACATCGAAAGTTTTTGTTAAATTGAAGATTGAAGAAGTTCCGAATTCGGCTAATTATTTTTCTACGTTTGTTCGTGTTTAGTACAACCCCGAAGTTTTTTTTGTGCTGGAGGATTGTCGTACAGTTTTGGCCATCAATGGTGCTGCAAGGAGAGGTGTTGTTAGGCGTCCTAAGTTTGTTTTCAACGGGATTCAGTTTGAACTTGGGTTTTTCTGTGAACGTCCTTGTCTACCCGAAGAGAAGATTCTGCGTTTAACCGATGTCGTTAGTGTAAAGTGTCATTTATGTTAATTAAAAATTTTAATTTTTGTGGACTGTGTACGGATACCTTCTTTGGATATTTCAATTCCCGGACAAGTAATGTAAGTAGTTAAGTCATAATTTTAGTCTATTTGTAATAAATGTTAGTGTTTTTGTACGATTTTTCTTTTGTGTTAAGATTAAACGCACCTTTGTAATTTTCACATTAATTTACGGGTGTTTCATCTTTCATTCACAACGACTTCACTTCTAATTTACCTGTGCTTTTGTTGGATGCTTGCCCAAAGTCCATTTTATTTATTAGAAATTTTGCACTTCAGTTTGGAGTTTAAGGTATTTGGTCTGACCCACTACCTGTTAGAAGTTAACAGGTTAACTGAGAGCAGAGTCGAATCTCTCTCCTCTGTGCTGAGGAGAAGTTTTGTGCCGTGATAATAAATAAAAAGGAAAGAGCTAGCTAGAATTTTGTTTTGGTGTTGGTGTTTTGTGTATGGTATTTCAGGCCTATGGATCAGTGCACACACACAGCATCAGTATGTACGTACATTTATTTTCAATTGGAACAAAGAGGTACGAAAAGTTCAGTTTCCAAGTTATATGCAAAACACCGTGATAATTAATTATGAGATTATGACATTAATACTCTCTTATGGTAATGGCCGTTTCTTTTTACAATGCTGCGGGACGAAATTTGATATACCATCCCAACGTGATATTCGCCGCTCCCAGCCACCCACGATCCAAAAACTTAAACGACACCCTGTATTTGTTTACATACTCTAAAAGTGCGCAGTTTTTCGAGTATTGCTAATGTAAAAAAGAGCATGACGAACTGTGCCAGATATTTACAGCTAACGGATCAGATTTTTGGACCGGTGAAGGCTAGGGGCTGGGGGGTCCTGAAAATCAGCACATCAGCATCTTCTTCCGTCTGTTCAACAGTAACATTTTATTTATTCCAGTTATATATTAAGGCCTGGATAAGAAGCGATAAGAAGTCTCTTATCAGCGAATGCAAATCGGATATCTGGGAAGTAAGATACTCCATTTTGTACAGATTTGAGAATTTAAAAACACTCGAACTAATGCAGAACGAGATTATCTCTTCAAGTATCGATAAAGTACTTATTTTTAGATTGTTTGTCATTTTATTTTTCTCCAGCCTCAACAACATGGGTACAAAATGCATATCTACGTGTACCTATTTGAAATACTAACACAAGGGTGCCACACTCATAGGCATGGCAGGGTTGTGGGACTGTAGGGGTTGTTTTGATCTTATTAAAGTTGAAGATGAAGGTTGTGATGACTGAAACATATCAGCCTTTAGAAGAAAAAGTTCAAGAATTCAGATCTGATGAGAATCCTTCTAAAAATGTTGACGCAGTCTTAAATATTCATAGGATTTTTATTTAATTGTACAAAAAACACGTTATCAAGAGGAAAACGAGGTTTCTTGATCTATTAACTAAACCCCTAAAACGGATCTAAAAAAGAGACAGAGCACCTCGCTTTGACCCTACGGGGTCATTGGATTTGACCTATAGGCTTATTACATGTGGCATGCAGGTCAACTGTGCAAAGTTTGAATCGAATCAGTCCTAGCGTTTAGCAGTTATAGTGTGCACGGACAGACGGACACCATTGACTCCCCTATAAAATTTACATCGCTTTGCTTTGTCGCTTAATAAATGCACTGATTCTTGTTCCGTGTCAAATAATAAATAAGTAAATAAATAAATAAATAAATAAATAAATAAATAAATAAATAAATAAATAAATAAATAAATAAATAAATAAATAAATAAATAATAAATAAATAAATAAATAAATAAATAAATAAATAAATAAATAAATAAATAAATAAATAAATAAATAAATAAATAAATAAATAAATAAATAAATATGAAATATGAAGAAATTACATTGCTTTGGAAATAACTAACCGAGCGTACCTTATAGCAACCCCAACAAGTCGCCATTTGAAATGTCAAACACTGCTGCTGTTTCGCATTTGATATACTATTTACAATGGACGTTAGTAGCGATAGGAGTTCATCCACGTGAATAATAGCCTCGTTCGTTGAAGAATGCTCATCATCTTTAGTCATTTCAACGCCCATTCCAATCGAGGTGACTCAGTGAAATGACTGTATATTGATTTATTGTCCCCTTAACTACGATAAATTCTCGCTGATACATATCGAATCGATTCTGAACGGGGTTAAAATTCTCACTGGAATGGCTGTAAATGTTTCTATTTGATACTGTATTGTGGCGCCCCGGTAGATCGGTAGGATGCGATTTTCAGTATATCTTTGAAAGGTAACTCGGTAACTAACCACCGTGATTAGTTTGGGAAATCAAAAATTCGTCTGCGTTTTCGATCTTATAGTCGATTTTTGAAGAGATATAGATGTCCCACTGATATAGCGTGTAATACTGGCATCTTCCCGATCAATTTGTTAATTGGCTGGTGCTATGGTCTAACTTTGACATGTTGAAAGGCCAATTGCAATTAACTTTGGCATGCAGCCCTTAATCTCTCCATTAGATGCACAAAAATTTTGAAGTTCATTGTTTACCAAGACGAATTAAAATAGCTCTATCTGAATACATGAGGCGTACTATTTTTAAGTAATTTATCTGATATCGGCTCTTATGAACTAGTAAATATTTTCAAAACGGTTTGATTTTTTCAAATAGTAGCATGTGCATTAAAAAAATTACTGTAACGTGTATTTAATATTCACATGTCCTTTGGTTACACACTGATAATTGTTTTCTGTTAACTACTGTTGTTTAATGCGTAGTATGCGCCTTATTATTTTCGTGGCTCGAAATCTGATATCTAGGTATTGCTCTTATCAAGAATGTAGCATGATATTAGCAATCAAAATAATCATTTTATTTTGCTGTCTATAAAAAAAGTACAGGGTGGCGCATCTAACAAGTTCGCTTTTAATGACTGGCGAACGAGATATGACACCGTCATTCCTTAAACATAGGACTTTGATTCCTCTTCCTCTACTCAGTTTTTGTCCACCGTGCTCGATTTTAACACCCTGCCCTGAATAGCCCCAAATACAAGTTTTTATAAATTACTATTCATCTATGTCAAAAAAATGACGTTCGTGGCTACCTCTAATTAATTACTAGGTACAAATACTAAATACGTATTCAACGTATCGGGGTTAAATGTTATCAGGAAGGTACGCAAAACCAATAATAAAAATAAAACAGTTTCTTACCTCTGTTTTAGTGATATACATTAAAATAAATATAATAACTAAAATGTGCACATCATGGCGACGCCCATGCTAGGGCCATTTCTGCCTCTATGCAACTGTTTGATCAGCAGTCCATCTTAATTTATAAGTTCGTGAATTGAAATTATTTCCATTTTTGCATTAGACAAAGTGTGCTCGATTAACTGAAAAAATGGACACGCTTAGACCAGATTTCTCCACATATTTTTCTGCTATGGGGTCATTTGAGGAAAATTCTCTACAATACATCTCTAAGTGATCTTCCACAATTTATAGAACAAGTTTTTTTTTCCATACTTTAAAAAAACCGTAAACCCGAATGTCATTTTATTTACGCGGATATCTGACTGTAGTCAATAGCTCTTACTTGATTGTCCACAGGAGGTTTTATGGTGAGTTTTCACGCTCATGCAATTTGCGCAAATTGACTTGTGCATGCCAATTTGTGCAAGTAAATTGGTGCATGAAAACGAAAATTGTTTATTTGCGCAAGCCAGAAAATTTGACTTGAACAAAATCTGGAAGAGTCGGTTGTAGGGGAGATAAAGAGAGCAGTGAAAAACTAATGAAAATAACCGTAGCTGTAACCACGGTGATGATGTTCCTATGTTAAAACTTCACCACGCTACGTTCACAAGTTAAGCAAAGGTGGATTCTTTTAAAAGCACCCTGTATACGATAGCTGTAGTTTTGGAACCTAAAATGTAATTGATAACGATAATTATTCAAGTATTCAGATAAGACTCATGCTTATACCTACTTATAAAAGGTTTGCTAACATCAAATTGGTTTGTGTCCGTTGATTATTATAACAATGAAGTCTTTAATCGTACTGTTCGCGTTGTTTTACACATGCACTGCATTTGTAAGTATCAGTAACTTTTACTCGTATATAAGATAATTATTTTTTTAGGGTTTTAATGTGCCATCCTCGTATATAAAATCATGGGAACATACGATATCGCCTGTAAGGGATGACTGTTTAAATGAAAGTGGGTTGGAGCGACAGGTACTCTACGATGCATTGTTCACTATGAATTTCCCCGACAGCCCCGAGTTTAAGTGTTTTTCCGCATGTGTTTGGACGCATTTAGAGTATTATGACTCTACCACAAGGAAAATAAATGCGAACAAAATTGGACAGGAAGTGAGGGGATTTACACCAAAAATTGCTGAAGCTTGTTATGATAAGCACAGGGCTAATAGAAATTCATGTGAAATGGTCTTCTCTATCATCAAATGTGGCATTGTGGAAATGTAAATTATGGCTCCCAGGAAATCGGATTCCTATACCGTAGAATTTAAGGTTTATTATGTATTTGTTATGTAAAATCTTAAAGAAATTCAAATATAATTTTTCTCGTTACTTTTATTTATCGTTAATACGTTTTGTAGGTGTATGTAATCTAGTAGTGCTATTTAATCTGTTTCTCGGAAATAACAATATGTTGTAAGTGGCCCTTCGTTACAACAAAACTGGAATGCTGTATATAAATTACTCTTAATTCAGGATTCAATTTATGATGTGTATGGATTATTATATACGTACAACTAGCTCAATCGGTTTACCTCATAGCTTCGAAAATTAAATTATGATTTTTTTTATCGGTCAGTTTGGCGATAGTATTATTATTGATTGTGGGCTCGATCGACTCTGGTTCGAACAGCGCAACAGCGTACATTTTGCACTATTTGTTCATAAATTCGATAAACAAATTAAACAGTCACAACTCCTGCGTGAAGGAATTTTGTTTTGCAAAGCACGCTTCGAGGGGTAGTCCACTTCGGGCGCCCAGAAGAAAGTTCGAATCTCTTCTCTCTTTCCCATATTTCGAGCGGTGAAAAGTTCCCAAAAAATTGAATACTATTCTGTAGAGGTGTAGAGGGTCTTTAGCGAAAGCGTTGCCTTTTTCGCCGCTTTCCTTGATGACAGATTCTGGTTCCCACTACGTTCACATGTGTTTTATGATCCGCCCCCTTTGCTGATCTATCGCTTCCAGGTTCCCGGGCGATGGCCAGACCTTCCTCGAACCGTTTCAGAACGTCACACACTGTAGATTTCGGAAATTTCAAAAGTTATGCTAACTTTCTAGCGCTTACATCGGGATTTTTGTTTAACTACCTCACAGCATTCTTCAGATGGGCTAACATTGAATAACGATTAATATAATAATTACCTTTTTGTTTAATTTTAAGTGGCATTTTTAGTTTTATATATATGGCAGTTCGATTTAAAGTTTATATTGTTGTGTAAACAACGTCATGTAGACGTTATTTTGGTCTAAACACCGAAATTAATGACAGGCCATCTTATATATGAAAAATATTTCAATTTTTATTTGCGGTTTCAGGGGGTTGTTTACGAATAAGGATATAGTTGGTTTGTTTTATTTGAATTTGTATTTCGGTGTTTGTTTTTCCTCTTAGAAATTTGTTAGATGTGTAGTTTTTCGTTTTAATTTATTACTTTTGTAAATTATTCAATTTAGATAAGGTATTACACGTAATATTGCATCTGGTCGTTCGCGATGAGTATCATTAGCGAATGTTTCTCTTTTTGATAAGTGCGCCTTAATATTGCAAATCTTATACGAGCAGATTATTTTGATTATTGAGAAAGAACTGTAAGTAATTCTAAGATTTTCTATATTTTCAATTAACGACAGCCTTAGTGCGGGGTATTATGTTCAAACAAGCTTTGCGGTATTTTGTTTTAATTGTTTGATGTGTTTCGGAATAAATGTTTGTCATAGTCATTCATTTGTGCATTTACTCAAATGCTTTGTGCGACCCGGATAGTTTTTCATGTCAGATTTTTCTTTTCTCCTCCAAAACTTATTTCAGGAATTTTCACCACCCTCCCCACTTGATGGGACTCAGCTTTCTTATGTAACCGTGTAACTCTAAAAGATTCTGATATCACACTACAGATCTTGCGAAGAACTAACAAGATGGTACCTACTAAACTTTCCTTTCCCTCACGATAGACCACCTGCAGGTGCTGATGGACCAACTACGGACACAGACCGTCTATGTTCAGCTGCACCGAAGAAGGTTTGGATATACAGTGGTCCCAAACCCCTTTTTTTGTTAATGTTTCTATTGGTCGTTCGAGGTCGGATCGGGTTTTACTGTACAATGGAAAACCTCATACTAATATCAGGCGTCGCGTCGGCTGGATTGAATTATGAAAACCGTTGGCGTCTTAAAATTCCCTTGAAATTTGTTGAGTCCGGGTAAAATTTTGAAGATACGAAGCGTTGGGAGTGGTTTGTGTTGTTAACGATCAGAAAACTTTCTTTACTGGGTGCAACTTTTAAACTAGAACAGAATTTCGTGGATACAGTCGAAACCACACAGTTAGTTTTACTGATTTTTTACAGAAGAGGGAAAGTTTTTACTCCCACACGGTATTCGTACTAAGCGAAAGTGTTGCTTTATAAGGATGATGCGTGTATTTTTATGCTTTCGCTCAGAAATTGTCCACGTTACTTGATGCGCTATGACGAAACAATGCTTCTACTGCGTTTTTTTGCAGGATACGACCTTCGAGTTCAGTTTTTTTTATTCGAATGCGCTACTTGAACTCTGATTTGTCTTTAATATGAATTACATATGCCCCCGTTACGCTGATTCCCTAATTAGTACACGAATTTAACCAAACTGTACTTATTGCGTACTTTTAACACCAAAGGTGAAACTTTTATTTAGATATCCCAAGCTAATATATTTTGCGCACTTCCACCAAATAACACACTAACTTTTTCCACGAGCTTTGAAACTTCCGTAAATTTTGGAAATTATAGGATTCCCGATCAAAATGGTCGCTTTTAATGCCAAAACACGAATGCATCCAAGTTCTCCAAAACCAATCTTCTTAACGCCTCCAACAGCGGATTCATTTCATTGGTTAGTGTCTTTGTTACTACTAATGTTTTAAAGGTCGTTACTCAATTCCAAAAACAACACGATCAGCAGTTTCCACGCTGCGAGTTTATCTCATGCTGAGTTCACTAATATAATACTATATCCCTATTAAAAAAGACTTGGCGACTACCTCTATGTAAAAAAAGGTTGTTACATCTAGAGAAAAAGGATTGGAAGTTCTAGTAAAAGCCAGCCTTGGTAGACGCTACGGAAGAGTAAAGTATTCATGTGTCTTGTTATAAACACTACACTCCGATCCAAAGATGTCGAGAGAGCTGCATTAGGACTCTGGGGCTAACCTAAGATCGTCTAAATTCCAATTTTCGTTCCGAACGAAATGTTTCCTATGTGCAGAAAATATTGAAAAACGAAATAAACTGCCTGTGTGCAGGCGTCACCGGAAAGTTTTCCACGTCCCAACACTTAAGGTTCACCAAACCGTAGCCAAGAAGCTAAGATTCTTGGAATGATTGGGGGAAACAGAGTGATATGAAAAGCGAAGGAAGACTAATACACGATACCACATCCCGTTTTGCAGTTACGAAAGGTGGTGCGCCACACTGTATACGGCAGCTGTAACTGTAGCACCTAAAATGATAAAGATAACGATAATAATTCGAGTATTCAGATAAGACTAATGCGTATACATAAAGGGTTTACAAACTTCAAGTTTGATTGTGTTCGTTGATTTTAATTACAATGAAGTCTTTAATCGTAGTGTGTGCGTTGTTTTACATTTGCACTGCATTTGTAAGTATCTGTAACTTTTACTCGTGGATAAGAATATCTTTTTAGCAATTTCATGTGGAATTCTCGTATATACAATCGTGGGAACACACGATAGCGCCCGTTAGAGACCAATGTTTAACTGAAAGTAGATTGGACCGGCAGGTACTCTACGATGCATTGTTCACCATGGATTTCCCGGAAACCCGTGAGTTTAAGCGTTTTTCGTCATGTATTTGGTCGCATTTAGGGTATTACAATTCTACTACAAGAAAAATAAATGCGGAGAAAATTGGACAGGAAGTAAAAGGATTTACAACAAGAATTGCTGAAGATTGTTACAATGAGCACAAGACTAAGAGAAGTGCCTGTAAAATGATCTTCTATATCATCAAGTGTGGCATTCAGAAAATGTAAATTAAGACTCCGAAGTAATGAGATACTTTAGCTATAAATTTTAAGGTTTGTTATGTATTTACTTATCAAAAAACCCAAAAAATCGAAATATATGTTTTCTTGGTGTAGAGTATTTAAGTACTATTTAATTTGCATTTCGCAGATAGAAAAAGTAAATGTCGAGATTAAAGTGCGAATACATACGTTAAGGAAAGTTCAATTAGCAATATGTATCTCTGGTTTTTTACGAAGATATAAACCTAACCAGAGTGCACAAGACCCAAAAAAAATGGGACACTAAATTAATCTCTTTTGTACTTACCTAAACAATGTTCTTGTCTGTCCTCGATGATGCCTAACAAGTGCCGATTCCGAGGCGCATACTGTAGGGTAGGGGGAACGCAAGAGAAGAAACCTCCTGACAAGCGTTTAAAGGAGCAGGAAAATTGTGTTAAAGTATGGGATATCGGGAGAGATCAGATGTAAAATCTGTTCCGATTTCAAGAAAAGTGAATGTACTAAACAACAGATGTCTTCTTGACACTTGATACTTTGACATATGCCTGGCGTCGTCGCCTCTCCCAGGATTTAGTCAAGTGTCGTGAGGATGCGTCCCTGGTAGGCACTATCAGGGGCGTTTTACCACTACTTTAAACTTTTGTGGACATCGCGATGGGCCGCGACATATGGCAAACAATGTGGTGGATTTCGTAAATTGGGGGGGGGGGAGCGGCTAACTGGGCGTTATGCACCCTTTAATGTCTTAACGTAACAAAAATTGTTAACATGGATCGTGTCGTTTTCCCTTTGCATATGTCGGTAATCGACTCATAGTTACTGAAATACTGTTTTTAAGAAAAATGAACGTGGAACCCTTAGAGTCCTTAGACCTGGTAAAACTTTCGTAATAGATGAGATTTACTTAGGTATAAAAACTGCGTAATAAACATTTGCGGTTGCATTTGAACCCCGGATATGGCTTACAAGTTCCACGTGGAAAACAGCTATAGCGTATAGAAGAGGTTTATACATTGTGATGCTAAATTGTTACAAATGTTTTGAGGTGATTATTTTAAGTGTCAAAATGTGGATTGGACTGACTAGCCCAATCAAATGAGTGTTGGTACGGACTTACATGGGTTCTGCAAGGATAAAATTGAGCTTTATATGAACCACTCAATCTGGTCGATAATTAAAACTTAAGACTTTACTAAACGGTTGGAAGCACATATTGAAATTTAAATTCACTTGAAATTCTGGTTGTATGACAAATACCAAAGTTCTAATCCCCTTATCACAATTGGGGTTGAAATATTTGAGCAAAATAAGGTGTTCGAAGATTTAATAACGCTCATAGATATAAGATAATAGATAACGGGGCGATCACCTTTTCTACATCTAACCTGGTTATAATATTATATTAACTTTGCCTGAATTATTTTAAATTCTTTAGTAATTATCGTACTATTATATATTATGTACTACTTTTCTGTTAAATCTAACTGGGAATGGGTTCATAAACTGAAATCTTGATCTATCGACGAAAACAATCCACGAATTTGTACATAGCATCCACGAGCTATGAACTGCTGTGATAAACGCTTCTGTGGATACCGATGAAAAAACTTCGAAGTGCAAGGTCTTGATGGTAAAACAAACTGCCAAATAGAGATATGATTTAGTGCTTCTGGTACTCCGGACTCGGACTAACGCTGACGTCCGGCAAAATCACATCCCGCGACACCAAAGGGCTTTATTTGGCAAACGAAACAATACAGATACACATAACTGATAAAATAAAAACATTGATTATTTCAAGGTAACATGTACATGATTTATTACACAAGTTTCTGCTGTTGGTACCTTTTTGATTTCAAAATTATCCTCCTCCTCCAAGAATTGAACTTCTGTATGTTGAGACGACGGTAATGCGCGATTAGATTGTGCTTAATTACACTTTTGTGTCTTTTTGGTTTGAGAGATATTTGGTGGGGCTCAGTGAACGCTTAACCAATAGTTGGGGAGCCCAATAGGGTAGTTTGGAATTTACTGGAGCGCGTCAGATTAAAGTAAAGTGGGTTGACTGCGTATTGAAAAGTGTGCAGTTTATTTTCTGAACATTTACGCGTGACGCGGGGGAGTGGAAAGATCGCTAAACTTGCAAAAAAAAACGTTACCTCTACATCCTCGAGTGCGTTGTAATTTTTTTTATTTCGAAGGAAATTATTCAAGAATAACAGAGGTAATATAATCTGCCAATTTCCAAACGCCAAAGTGAAACAAAACGCGACAAAACGTCATTAAAGTTCAGTGTACTCTGCAGTTGAAGCATGTCAGTTGACTCATATCATAGGCGGCTGTGTCATAAATCAGAGTGCGTTTATTTTGGAGCCTCGATAAGTGATAAGAGCTTCGATACTAGCGAAGCGAAGAAAAGTGTAAATATTTGCGCATGCGCACATCTGATTTTTACAATATGCGTTATGCTTTAATTTTTAAATGAAATTTGATACATAGCCACTTGGAATAAAAACAAATTTAACGCCAGTTTCAAAATTTTGTTTTGCGCATGCGCAGTGCCAACTTTCCTATTTATGGAGGGATTTAAATGAAATTTGATACATACAGTGCTACCATTCTCAGAAAAGCCCCGGAAAATATGCGAACTAATTTTGAAATAATTCAGGCTGGCCAATAGAAAGTCTGCAAAACGACGCGATACATTCCGCGCCATAATTATTAATTATTCCGTTTTGACAGTTGGCGCTTCACGTTATTTTTGTTTACACTTTGCTTATTGTATTTGCTTTATTTTACGTTTTCCGTCTCCAGCTTTATACACACTCGTCTTTTTCAAGACGCATATAGCTTGGATATACGATCTGATAAGGTATGTAATTCCCTTAAAGTGTTTTTAAATTTTGCATCAGAATGTACGGTCCAAATTTCTAGCGCCCTCGGATACGCCCTGTCAGGGACTTTCTGAGCGTGGTGCCACTGTAGCCACTTGGAATAAAAGCAAATGTAGCGCCATTTTCCAAATTTGGTTTTGTGTAGGATGTGCAGTGCCAACTTTCTTATTTATGGAAGCAATTAAATGAAACTTCATACATATACACCTTAAATAAAAGCAAAACTAACATCACGTTTAAAATTTGGTTTTGCACATGCTATAGGCATACCCAGGAGCTCGTTTGCTATATTTGTTTAATTTACCTTTACTTCTAAAATGCAAGATGCAGTTTATATTTAGTTTCATCTCCTTGTCTATAGTTTTTGTGGCCTATTGTAAAATTTTTAGCTACAAATTTGGGTTTGATATACCTTAACCATAACCAATAACTGCTATTGTGTCATAAAGCAAAACATAATATAACGGAACAAGAAATTGTGTGGCTTATCCCACAAGAAGTAATGATCTTTCAGTAAAAAAACAGCGCCTAATAGCAGATCAATATCACTACTATTCAAATAAACGGAAGAAGATAATACATTAAAACAATCAACCATTCTTAGTTTTTTTCCAACCTACCTTTTGTATTGGCAATCTAATCCGAACTGATGAAATAAAGTAGTAGTGGTTACAATATATTTTGAATAAACCAACTTCCTAATGGAATATGAACATGAAATAAGAAGTTATTGTGCCCATTTAGTTAGTTAGAATAAACCGTACAAAGGTGCAGATATAGTTTGATTTTCTCCTGGCCCAAAGGAAACACAAAGCAGCCCATGAAGCCTTTAATCACATTTCTCGTAATATTATGCACAACTACTGCTTTTGTAGGTATTCATCTACGTACCATCATTACTTATAGTATTTTTTAGAAATTCAACGTGAATCCCGAGTTGACAAAAAAATGGATTGCCATGATAGGCCCTTATAATGACCAATGTGCAACTGAAAATGCAATTGACAAAAATAAACCGTATAAGGCAATTTTAAATATGAATTACCCTGAGAACCGCAGCTTTCAGTGTTATGCCGAATGCATCTGGTGGCGATGGGGTTTCTATGATTCCGAGACGGATACAATTGATGGTGACAAAATTGAAAAAGTTATCGCAGGGTTTACGAAAGGTGACACTGAACAGTGTTTTAAAACCTATAAAATGATTGATGATCACTGTCAGAAGATTTTCTCCACGATAAAGTGTTGTATTGGGAAGCTGATGCGCGAATGATGGACAGAATTGTTTTAAATAGTTATACGTGTTGTAGTTACCAATATACGAGTATAATACCTTCATCCTATGTAGAGATATTTCAATGACGAGCTGTTAGCTCCATCCAGCAGTATGGATTACGATAGGAGGGTGGACCTCTAGGTCTCATATTCGGGTCCTTTGTACTACCTTCCTGAATCCTGACTACAGTTGTTCAACCCCTTCACGTCACTCAAGCCGGCCCACACGTGAGATGAACCTAAGGATGATGGAAGGGGAGGCGACTCTAAATAATCGTAACCATGTCCGGCCAGGGATACCCCCAACATGGATCGTCTCAGTTGGATTAGAGCGGTACATTCACAAAGTATGTCGTGTGCGGTCTCGTCGTCTATGTATCCCCTACAAGGTCGAAATGTTACCAGTCTCCAGAAAGTATTCCCACTAGTAATGTCAGGTTTTTTCTTGATAGCCCTGTGCAAAAACGCACCAATTTAGCAGATGGTCCTTTGAAGGCTTCTCTCGCATGGCGACCGTCTTAACATCATGTTCTACTCAGCCCTGTGTTGAGTTTGGGTGTCCGGAGTCATTAAGTTGTTTTTGTCGAGTGTGATTCCTAGATATTTCACTGACTCTGAAAATTTGAGGTGTTCTTGGAAAAGCTGGGGCACTTAATATACGAGGGTTGTCCAGAAAGTAGCAGACGCTTTGACATAAAAAATTTTAAACTTGTAAAGAAAATCTATTATTAAATACATTTGGGGGCTACACTCTTGGGCTATTTATCAACACAAGCGCCATTCAAATTGAGGCACTTATCATAGCGTGGCAGAAGTGTTTTGATTCCAACTTTTATAAATCCGCCGCCTGAGACTTTAACCACAGGTTATCGCCGGCTTGAAGTTCGGCATCACTGTCCATGTGCTGTGTTGCGAGCGAGGTCTTCATCGCTGGGAAGAGGAGGAAGTCACTTGGTGCTAGATCCGAGCTGTATGGAGAGTGATCCTTTCTCCCATCCAAGAGCTGTCCAGTACGGTTGACTGTGTACGGGCGGGTTTTGTCGTCGAACAACAAAACTTCCACCTCTTCCCAGCGATGAAGACCTGGCTCGCAACGCAGCGGTTCGATAGGGACGCCGAACTTCATGCCAGCGTTACCCAGGGCAGGTTAAAATTTCAGACGGTGGATTTATAAAAGTTGAAATCAAAACACTTGTGCCACGCTATGATAAGTGCCTCAATTTGAATTGTGCTTGTGTAGATAAATAGCCCAGGAGTGTAGCCCCCGTATACAATAATAATTTTTCTTTACAAGTTTAAAATCTCTTACTTCAAAACTTCTGCTACTTTCTGGACAACCCTCGTATATTCAGGGTGTTTGTGGAAACACCGGAAATTTGTGTGTGTAAAACAATATACTCATATACAGGGTGAATATTTTGCCTGGAACACTGAACATATCATCAAAATAGAATAGCTTTTTATGGTATCTAACTTACAGTTTGCTGTGGTCAGTGGCATGCTTCTGCATGGTCAAGGGTTTTTTTAATGCCAACTACTAGTCTTCATTACATTTTTTTTGGGTAGGTGTAGCAGGATAAAAAACTTATTATATTACATAATCAACTTTATGAATTTCGTACTTTACTTATACACACTATTAAAAATTAAAAGTTCGAAAAATCTTAATGTTTAGTTTTAACCAATTTCTCCAAATTGGAACACTGACTTACTTGGTTCCTGAAAAATTGGATAAGTAAATGCTGTCTTATCTTTTATTTGTTTTTGAAAGGACAACTCTCTTTGATAATGAGTTTTAATTTAAATTAACTACAAAGAGATAATGCTAGTCGAAGTCCAGCCTTGCCTGCAGAACCACTACGTGCGCAATGAAAATTTGTATTTTAGCGTTTGCTTTTTTGTATTCAGGTTTTGCATTTGTAAGTATCTTCCGATTTTTCTGATTGGATGGTTATGCAATGTTTAGAAATTCCACGTAACACCAGAAGTGGCAAAAATTTGGGACGATTTCATAGACCCTTTTAGAGAAGAATGTAGGGCGGAAGCTGGCCTCGATGAAGAGGTGGCCAAATGGGCACTTTTGAAAATGGACTTTCCCGAGAACGATGCGTTCATGCGGTTTTGTGGTTGCCTTTGGTCACGACTAGGATTATACAATATGGACACAAATGAGATTAACGTTGATACTGTGGTGGAGAAACTACATGGATTCACCATGGAAAATGCTGTAGAATGTAATGATAGGTACAAGAATGCAAGTAAAAATGAAAAGGCTTTCTTGGTCGGGACGTGTGTTATCAGAAAGATGAGTCTTTAAGTAAGACTTGTTTTTGAGTCATTTACCAACATTACATCAAATTCTGTGTATCTTTTTCTATCCAATTCTGATAGTTTAGATGATAATTTTAATTACCTTCAATTGCATTTTAGAAAGTATCAATTGTCAATTAACGTATTTAATCAAATTTTAGAAACTTTCCTGTATGAAGGTATGGATTGTAAATTACAGTAGGTACTAAATTGATTGGTCATGTTTGTATTAGTCAAATCAATATATTCGCAACAATTAAGGGAGGTTTTAGCTTTTCAATATAAGATATTGGTTTTTCTTTCCATCACTAATAGTATTCAAAGTTGATTCCATTAAAAGCAAGCTTGTCGTTTAGTGAACATACCACAATATGCAGCCTCATCTAACCCAACTTTTTCATAATTTAGCAATTTTCCATATCAAGGGTATTCGGAACACATGCACCAACGTAGAAGTGCTAACAATAGTACTACTACAAGTTGACCGTTCCATTTCGTTTCAATTAATGTAACACATAAGGTATAGCAACTGACCAAATCCGTATTTGTATAGAACACACAGCAAATGGTTCTTTAACAGCTGAAAAGTCTAAAAGTTGAGTTTGTTCAAAAAATGCTACATCGCCTATGTGATGTATGCAAGCCTGGGGAGGTCAAGGTTGGTACGCCTGCAACGGTGGGCTAGGTCGCATGTCGTTGTAAGCACGTTTCATTTATAAATCATCTCTGTCAATATAAATATCCAAATAAAGAGTACTTATTATTGGCGACGAGATAAAAAGAAGAACCGAATTTGGCAACATATAGCATAAATAAAAGAAGCTGTGTATTCATGGTTAGTTTCGAGCTCGGGGTGGAAGGAATCAAGTCAAGATGGCTACAGTCGCAATAGGACACATTGGCGAATTCAACGCAGACGAGTCTACGAATTGGGAAGTTTACGCGGAACGACTTGAATTTTATTTACAAGCAAATAAAATAACAGAAGATGAACAGAAAAGGGCGGTGCTGTTGACGGTTTGCGGAACAAGGACCTATGAAATTTTAAGGTCGTTGGTAGCTCCTGACGCGCCAAGTTCAAAATCTTACGGGGATTTAGTGAAAACCTTAAAGGACCATTTCGCGCCTAAACCGTCCGAGATAATGCAGAGATTTCGTTTTCATAAACGCGATCAAGGACAGAATGAAACAATTGCGGTGTACGTGTCTGAACTAAGAAAAATTGCGGAGCAGTGTAACTTTCCCAGAGAAACCTTAGAGACAATGCTTCGCGATCGTGTAGTGTGTGGCGTTCGCAGTGAAGCGTTACAGCGCAGGTTGCTAGCAGAAAAAGACTTGACCTTCAAAATTGCATTAAATACGGCAACGGCGGCAGAAACAGCTGATTTGAACGCTCTAGAAATCCGGAAGCAAACTGCACCTGTTCAACAGCTGACCGCCACCACATCAACATACAGAAGGGTTAATCGAGACAACAAAGAGCATAACAGCGGTGTCACCAGCTCCGGGTCAAATGGCACCAATAATTTGCACCGTCAACAAAACCAGAGTAATTACAAACCCTGTTTTAGGTGTGGAAGCCAACACAATCCATTCAATTGTCGCTTTATGAACGAAACATGCAGATTCTGTAAGAAAAGGGGCCACATAGAGAGAGTGTGCATGCAGAAAAACAGGAAACAACAGACAAACGCAGTTGACGCATCGGAGCAGCCTGAAGATGACTATGCCGAAATATTTACTTTAAATGGGATAACCAGCAATTTACCGGTTGCAATCACAGGTATCAATAACATTACAAGCATGCCCAAAGCAACGGTAACATTAAATGGACATAAATGTTATATGGAAGTGGATTCAGGAGCGGCTGTATCATTAATGGCCTCCAACACGTTTAACAGAATATTTAATGTATACAAACCAGAGCTATCAAACTCGACGTTAATTCTAAAGGACTATCAAGGAAATGTTATAAAAACTGTTGGCGTGTGTCAAGTCGAAGTTAAATACGCAGGCCGATGTGCAGTACTACCGCTCACAGTAATCGAAGATAACCGAAGCAGCTTATTGGGCAGAAATTGGTTTGCTACATTAGGAATTAAACTGGCAGGCGTTTATCAGCTTACATCAGAATCGGTGATAACAAAATCAGTTGCAGAAGTACTGAGCAAGTATGCTGACATTTTCAAGAATGAATTAGGCAAGTACAAAGGCCCTCCTGTGACATTACCAATCAATGATAACGTACAACCGATACTATGTAAGGCCAGACGGGTGCCATTTGCATTATTACCCAAAATTGAAACGGAACTGCAAAAATTATGCCAACAGGGCATTTTAGAACCGATAACCCACCCACGATGGTGTACGCCAATCGTTCCCGTTGTTAAAAAGGATTCCAGCATAAGAATATGTGGCGATTATAAACAAACCTTAAACAAGGCATTGCGTACTGACGTTTACCCAATTCCAGCCATTAACACTATATTAAGTTCACTAGCCGGAGGCAAAATTTTTGCCAAATTGGACTTGGCTCAAGCATACCAGCAGTTAGAAGTTGACGACAAGTCTGCTGAAGCCCAAACAATAATCACACACAAAGGACCTTTCCGAGTAAAACGACTACAATTTGGAATCAGCGTGGCTCCACAAATATTTCAAAATTTCATGGATCAGAGACTAAGCGGAATTCAAGGAGTATTCCCGTACTTCGACGACGTACTGGTAGCAGGAGAATCGGAAACACAATTAGCCGAACGACTCGAGGAGATATTCAAGCGATTCCAAGAAGATGGCTTACGCCTCAAGCGAGAAAAATGTGCATTTGGAGTGAAAGAATTGAGTTTTTTAGGATTCCAGTTAACTGAAAATGGACTGCAACCGATCAAAGACAAAGTTAATGCAATCAAAAATGCCCCAGCTCCAAAGAACAAACAAGAACTGCAAGCATTTTTAGGAATGTTGAATTTTTATCACAATTTTTTAAAAGATAAAGCGACAGTAGCAGAACCTCTACATAAATTACTACATACAAACACTAAATGGTCCTGGAACAAAATACACGATGAAGCATTTCAGCAATGCAAGAATTTGTTGTCATCGAAGTCACTTTTGGTGCATTTTGATATTAACAAACCATTAATATTGACAGCAGACGCTTCGCCTTATGGAGTAGGAGCCGTGCTAAGCCATAAGATGTCAGATGGTACAGAAGCGCCAATCGCATTCCATTCCAGAACACTGAACGACGCACAACGGAACTACTCACAGTTGGATCGAGAGGCACTAGCGATTATCGACGGACTAAAAAAATTTCATCATTATGTGTTTGGGAACAAATTCGAAATTCGTACAGATCACAAACCACTTTTGGGAATATTCGGGCAAGACAAGGCTACCCCAGAAATTATATCCCCGAGACTTCAGCGATGGTCATTAATTTTAAATAGTTATAATTATATGCTTAAGTATGTTCCTGGTTCGACCATTGCAAATGCAGATGCACTAAGCAGATTTCCAGTGATCGACAATTCAACTCCAATAAATGAAGAGATTCCACAAGTGCTCATGGTCGAGACAAGTCCTGAAATTACAGTCAACGCTGAAAAAATCGCCATATTGACACAAAAGGAACCAGTGCTATCTAAAATATTGGACTGGGTGGTAAGGGGCTGGCCGAACGAAATCAATATGGACGAAGCAAAACCGTTCTACCATAAGCGGCAGGAATTATCCTCGTACAAGAAATGTCTGTTGTGGGGAAACAGGGTTGTCGTTCCAGCAGCAGCCAGAGCACAAGTACTTCACATGTTGCACGAAACTCATCCGGGGATTGTACGAATGAAGATGTTGGCGAGGAGTCATGTCTGGTGGCCAAACATGGATGTTGAAATCGAACATGCAGTAAAAATTTGCAACATTTGTCAGGAAAATCAACGCGCACCACCTAAAGCAGCTATTCATCCTTGGGAATGGGCAACCGAGCCGTGGAGCAGGTTACATATTGACTTTGCGGGGCCGTTTCAAGGACATCAACTCCTGATCGTAGTGGACGCCTACTCTAAATGGTTAGAAGTCGAGTTGGTGCCGACAACCTCCTCGTCGGCAGCAATACGAGTGCTACGTAGCTTATTCGCCACTCATGGATTACCCGACGTAATTGTATCAGACAACGGTACGGCATTTACATCGGCAGAATTTGCAGAGTTTACAAAGAAGAACGGGATTAGGCACACAACATCGGCGCCATATCATCCGTCCTCAAATGGCCAAGCTGAAAGGCTAGTGCAAGAAGCCAAAAAGATGTTAAGCAAATTGTCGCAAGGGGATTGGCGTACCAAACTGGCCCGAATGCTGTTAAGCCAGCATTCAACGCCGTCAACAGTAACCGGCGTCAGTCCAGCAGAACTGCTTTTCAAGAGAAAATTAAGAACCTGTTTAGATCGAATCCATCCTGATTTCGTGAGGGACATGAAGCTGAAGCAGGAAACACTTATGGAACAGTCAAAACCACCTCGGGAATTTAAAGATGGCGATCCAGTTTCAGTGAGGAATTTTGGTGATGGTCCCAAATGGGTTCCAGCGCAAATCAATAAACGTACTGGTCCATTATCATACAAGGCAACCCTAGATGACGGAATCGTAATCCGAAGACACACCGATCAAATCATTTCCAGAAGACCACTGCAGGGCCATCAAGAACCACCGTCAGATGTGCAGGAAGCCAGCATGAGCACTCGCCCAAGCAGAGACAGAAGGATGCCTTTGCATTTACGAGATTTTGTTTTAACTGGGGGGAAGGAATGTGATGTATGCAAGCCTGGGGAGGTCAAGGTTGGTACGCCTGCAACGGTGGGCTAGGTCGCATGTCGTTGTAAGCACGTTTCATTTATAAATCATCTCTGTCAATATAAATATCCAAATAAAGAGTACTTATTAGCCTATTACGGCATTGAATAACCTCAAGATAGTACTGCATACTTTTAGTGTTAGGAAAAAAAGAAGATTCGCAGAAAATAGTGTAGTTCGATCAGACAGATTAGAATTGACAACATACTGTTACTCCGGATGAAAAAAGTTTATTGTTTCACTAACTGTTGAATGTTCGGTGGCCTTTTATAAACCGACCGTAGAACTTTCGGGGTGTTTAACATTATATTCGTACTATCGTAATAGTATCATATCATAATGTTAAATAAGATAGTTGTCAGATCTTGTCTAATTCACGAGTACGAAATTATATTAGCTGCTAACCGGTTATTGACCGAGAGTAGCTCTAGGGCCTTCATTGATTACACGGAAGGAAGAAGAGTTACTGAAATCCTTCCAAGAAATACGCCCACTTACTTTCTTACTTCTTTTCTAATTTGCATTTTACAATTATTATTACATTATAATAGTTCTCAACATGTACGCCAACATCGGAGAATTTCATTTCCCTCACAATCAAGATTTTACAATGATATTTATATTGGTGTTTGTGGTTTGGGTTACTCCCGGGAGTTATTGAACGATGTATTATTTCATAATAATATATAGGTATTACATATACATATGTACAGGGTGGCCAAATAAGAATGCGAAGTACTGTATCTGGGAACCTGTCCATCGTAGAGGCTTGCGGTAAAAAAAATTATTACTAAAACGGCCACGAGAAAAACTTGGAAAATATGTTTAAGTTATTGCAATGGCCGCTAGGGGGCGTAACTGCAATCTGGAATCTAAAGACGTGATGTTTCTATGAATTCCGCTATATTAACCTAACAAAAAAATGTCCGGTCTTTGAAGTTGACAATAATCTGAACATTTTTTGTTTGAAAATTTTTCTTGTATCTCAAAAAATGAAGTGGTGGGGTATATTCAAAGGTTTCCGTAAAGAACACCCTGTATCTTCGAAACGGCTGAGTCGATTTAAACAAACTCGGGTTAGTTCGAAAGATCTATTCTTCAGCTACAAATATTATACTATTTGAAGTTTTGTTAGTTTCACATATCACCGCTTGAGGGCTTTTTTCGACATTCCGACAGAAATGGTTAATTTTCTCAAAAAAATTAAATGCATTGGTTTGATTTTTTTTCATGAAAAGGTAGCCTAATGCTGTTTTCGTGAGTTTGTTTAGGCTTCATTTAGCTACTTTTTCATGAAAAAAAAATCGAACCAATGCATTTAATTTTTTTGAGAAAATTAACCATTTCTGTCGGAATGTCAAAAAAGCCCTCAAGCGGTGATATGTGAAACTAACAAAACTTCAAATAGTGTAATATATGTAGCTGAAGAATAGATCTTTTTAACTAACCCGAGTTTGTTTAAATCGGCTCAGCCGTTTAGAAAATACAGGGTGTTCTTTACGGAAACCTTTGAATACCCACCACCACTTCATTTTTAGAGATACAGGAAAAATTGTCAAACAAAAATTGTTCAGATTATCGTCAACTTCAAAGACTGGGCATTTTTTTTTAGGTTAATATAGCGGAATTTACAGAAACATCACTTTTTTAGATTCCAGATTGCAGTTACGCCCCCTAGCGGTCATTTCAGAAACTTAAAAATATTTTCCAGGTTTTGCTCGTGGCCATTTTAGTAATAAATTTTTTACCGCAAGTCTCTGCGATGGATAGATTCTCAGATACAGTACCTCGCATTCTTAGTTGGCCACCCTGTACATAATAGGGTTTCGAGATCCATCACATAACAGAATTGAAGTAATAAATATTGGGGAGTCATGAAAATAATCACAACTGGCCGTTATGTACAATAAGATAGTGGCAAAATCCCATTGTCTTGTATGGTCATAATAAACCAATGGAGAACATGATCATAAAATATTACCTCAATTTGTTCTCGAGGATAAAAGCGGGGTAAAGTAATGAAAATGTAGCATTCAATCTAACTTGGCTAGGAAGTTCTAGGACTGCGTTCCATAGTGAGGTGCACCGTGCAAATCACTTACAATGAAAATAGAATCATAAACATGGGTTCTAAACTAAACTAGAACAAATCAATCTCAAAAGGTTAAATCTATGGGCCTCAATCTACACCATTTAAAATTCCTTGCCTGGCTTTCTTTCGGCTAGCCCACATTTTTGAACAGAGGGTTCAGATCTGAAAGAAACTTATTCAAGAAGGTCACTAAGTCGCTTTCTACCAAATCAGAGGGAATGATTCTCATTCATGTGTCCAATCAATTATGAAATCGCATCAGTAGCAACCATAATATGGAGGACTGAGGGTTTTCCCCTTCTATTTTGGCTCGAAAACCAAATATTTCAACAAATGCATCATCACTTACTAATTATTAAAAGATTATAGCAATAGAACACAATTTTGCGTTTAGAGAGCAGATACAGACGCTTCATTTTAATCTTTTTACTAACAATAGTTAAGAAATATGGCCACCAGTGTTGGTGTTATTCGTATTCCATAATAACGTAAACATTTATAACAATACAAAAATAAAGGAAAATTATATTTATTTTAACGACTCTCTAATATTTGGGTTTTGTTGTCTGGATAGTTATCGTTTTCCTGACATTGGCGAAGGTAGTCTTGCCGGAAAGTTTGATTCAGATGATTCGCTATCTTCATTCGGATCCACATGGGAGGTATCATGGTGAAAAAATACTAAAATGGAGCACAAATAATCAAAATTAGGCATTGACAGGTGCATGACGAATATGAAACCCCTGCCACCTTTTGCTTAGTCGGATGGCCCATCCCAGAGATTCATGAAATGAAACTGGTTAACAAACAACTTGGCATAATACTACCTGAATTCCGTGCGCCCAGTATCCAGTTGAATCATTAATTTTTCCTAGTGTGTATACGGCGTACTTAACATAAGTAGAAGCGTCTGGCACCAGAAGTGAAGTTTCCCGTAATCTATCACTGAAATCGTTCATTTTCGTATTTACAAAATATGGAGAAAGGTGTTGGACAGTAATGCCATAACTTGCATATTCCTCACGCAGAGCTGCCGTGAAATGCTTCACGTACACCTTAAAATTAAAATAAAATTTAAATGTACCTCATTTTTCATTACAAGCACATTATTGAATAAACTGTGTACACTTTTTAAATAAGCACAGGTTGGATTCACCTCTGAATAAACCACAAATTAGATTTAGCAATCGCTTTTCAAGTTTTCACGTGACAAGCGATACTACTAAGAAAATTCTGGATAAGTAGTAAAAGTCAACTCAGAATTAGGGACTGATTTTGAGACTGTCTATCATAGATCATTTGTTAAATGGAAATTGGGATCAAAATTCTTGATAGTGAGAGGTACCTACTTAAAAAATCACAACAGAATGTGTCTTAAATGACCAGGCACTGACATTTACTTGACCGAAAGTGAATATGTGTACAGTGCGCTGTATGCAACGTAGAATTGTAGATAGAAGTATGTCATGTCCTCGGTAATGTCAATCATGACATAGGTAGGTAATTAAAAAGTGAATTTTAATTGCAACAAAAGATCAGATATGTATTAATGTACATTAACAAACCATTGCAGACAACTACTATTGGCAATTTAAGGATGAAATTAAAACATATGATACACTCCAGTAACTCATACAAGAAACAAATTCTCTTTTGGTCATGCACTAAATAGCCACAGGTGTTGCGTAAGTCTTATTCCTGCAAGAATGTTGCAATAGTTTAAAGTCAAGGTGAAGGTTGTTTCTACAGTGTGCCAGTTGACTTCTTACCTTAGTAGCTGCGTAGACATTCATAAGTGGCATGGGTTGACATTCCGCCCCAGATGAAATGTTGACTATAGCTCCTCGCCCCTGACTTTGCATTCGTGTTACAAGAAAGCGTGTCATCAAAGTAACGGCCCCAATATTAATATTAATAATATCCCATAACTCCTGCTCTGGAACCTCACCGAGGTACGTGGGATAAGTATACTGTTTCCCTACATTATTTACTACAACAGATGGCGCTTTTAATGATACGCGTTATCACGGGGCGTCCATCACCTAAAATTCCTATAGGCAACTCGCCCAATTCACGTTTGACTGCTTCGATCGCTTTTGGGACGTTTGAGAAATCCGCAGTGATTATTTTTACTTTGACCTTGTATTGGGACTCTGAAAAAGGGCATGTAATTGGCCGTTCGCGTTTGTAAACTCACCGATTTCTTTAGCGGTAACCTGTAACTTTGGTTCACTTCTGCTAACAAGCACGATGTTCAAACCGCGATTCGCCAATTCTTTCGAGTAGGCCTTTCCGATTCCATCTGTCGCTCCGGTGATTACTAGAAAAAAATATATATTGTCAAAGACATTAATTTAGTGTTGGGCATTGACAAGAGAGAGAACAGTTTAATTTTTACATAATCTATTGTTTTAGTTGCATTTTTAGAGAAATAGTTAATAGTTATATATGTATTATACCGTGTGTCCCAGATTGAACGCACGATAGGCAAACAGAATTAATGTATTTTTTCGCGAAGGATTCTGAAGTCTTTGATATGTATTTGAAGTTAGCGTTCAACGTACGTGATTGCGCTTCTGTGATACTAGAAAGAGATTACAGTAATACTAATTTCAAATGTCTCGTGGATCCTTCGCGAAAAAATACCTTGCCGTTTCGCTATGGTGCGTTTTTTCTGGGACACACTGTATAAGACGATAAAGGGATATTTTAACCATTGAGTGAATTAACTTTCATGAGGTGGTTAGTTTCCCTTTATCGTCGTGTATAATACAAAACTTTATTTTATAGCAGAACCATATAAATCATTGTAAAGCTTCTGACAATTCTGAACTTAATTTAGACGTCAAAAATAGCAAGCTTAAGTTATGTCGTCGCGGTCATATATTCTAAACTTCATTTTATATCGTATTTCGCGTGAGATTTGAAATAAGAATTACAGATGTAATTAGAATGCTCAATCATCACAAATTTCCCGGCACCCCTATTGTTATTATTTTGCTTTTTACGGCTAGTAAAGATATGAAGGACGAGAAGTCTTTGAAATATTATACGTTAATTTGCAAACAGTTTAGGTTTTTTAGTGAGAAGTGACTGAGAAAAAACAACCTAACTGAGACCTTTCTTTTCGTAGGAATTTTTTTTTATGATTTCTCTGTGATAACGCTCTCATTTCGTTTGCCGCATGTAGGTCACCTCATGTACATTGTACTCATAGACATATTGATCACAGTTGGTCTCAAGCTGATAATCACACAAATAGAAAACTATAGATAAGAACTATTTTATAAACAAGTAAATAGTCTAATCGTAAACGAATTACGTAAAGTGACGTTTTGCATATGGAAATATTTTATTTTCCATCAATCTGGAAAAGCATAAACACTGGTGGTAGTACAGATAAAGAACAAATATCAAGGCATCGTTCTTCCAACGAAATAGTTGCATCAATAACGATTTTCCGGTATATCAGATTGTTTGCGTCTTTCAATTGGAAGAATGTTCATCAACTGGTTACTGGATATGATACAGGACCAAAGTTTGTTTTTTCATACTATATAATATGATGTGGTTGATTTTATAACACGCGACTCCTTTACTTTCATCCACAACACAATCGTAGATACCTCGTTTTGCAGTTTAAATTTTTTTTCAAATTCTATACACGAATATATACAATACCGTTTCGCATAGGTACAAATAGTAGGCTTGCGTCGCGTTGGTTTAATGAGGGACGCCTGTCGCAGAAATTTCGCTGGTTCCGTTTTGCCTTAATATATAAATAGCGAAGACCAAAAAAAGAAGATGGTTAGCGACTGAGAAAGCGTGAATTCTGCAAGATTATACTCGTATTTAATAATTCAATAATTAGCGGTTGAATGGATACAGTTTGAGAGTTTGGGTTCGCAGTTTCGTCGTGAAACGTGCAGTTTTTCTATGTTCAAGTTATGTGTAAGAAATAAATGGGATAACAAATGGAATTGAAGGAACAATCGTTTAATTGCGGAGGTAAGAGGGACTTGTTACCAAACAACGCCGACGTTCTCCTAGAGTAATTTATTCACCTCGCAGGATTTCCTGGATTTCTATGGCGTTTTCAAATAATACGGAGTAAAAGGTATTTAAAAATTTAATTTGTACTTGCTGCCAGTTAAAAAAAGAAATCGTAAATCACTACGGCGATGTGTAAAAAATTCAAGTAGAAAATTAAGTTTCAATCTTCAGAGAAAAATTGCTTTAAAAACCTCAATGGTTTCCGCTTGGAAGTGAAAGAGAAGAAAATCACCGTATAGATTATCAGAATGTTTGTGGATCGTGAAGGAACTTACGGGAATATTAGTGCCACGTGTTAAGATTTCAAAATTTCAAAATACAAGCTACGTGTAGGCTGAAAATACGTTAACCTCGAAACACAATGCGTTAGTGCAGTGACTTTACAATAATGTAATAATTTTGATAGTATAGTATTCTTGTAAGTTTTGTGGTGTAACAAAAGGTAATGTACTTAGTTTTAATTGTAATTATTCGCTTTACTGTAAATTATGTTGATTTGTATAACTATTTCGTCTATGTAGACATAAACGCCGAAGTTCTATTTCCGTGGGAAGGGACGTGGAGTTGCTTTTAAATCTATTTGAGTTGGCCATACTTAAACCCTGTCAAATTTTGTACTATATTAACGTCAGGTCAAAATTATTCAAATTCAAGAGATTTTGCCTCGGATTTTTAAGTTTTGCATATTGTAAATGTGTTGGCGTGTTTAGCTTTGTTCCACAGTTAGGTACCTCCCTTTCTCCTGATTTTCCCTCTCTATATTTACTCTCTGTGAACGAATGACTGAGGTTCTTCGGCTCAGTTCTTTCTCCGATGAGATCTAGGGGAACACGACGTGCATTTGGATTTACATACATTCTGTCTAAATTTGCAGGAACTCTTTTGCAATTTTGGATTCATTTGAACCCTTAACTGGACTAAAAATAGACTGCATAACTTAATTCAGTCAGCCGCTTGCCTACTGTATGCATATAATCCATGTTCAATGATATTTTCGTCTTCCGCATTCCTTTTAAGTATAGGAGTTTCTATCCGTTGATTTTTCTTTGTTCGTCAACCTTTTTGGAGTAGAACCCTCTGTACTCGAGTTGCAAGATTCGGAAATTATAAATGTACAGGGTGAGTCAACGATTGCGGGGAGTAACTTAATGCCTTGAAGATAAGATTTTTCGATAGAGTGCTTTTGTATTATGATATGGTTGAATATTCTCCACATTTTAAAAATGTATGGGATGGTACCTTTTTTAAATAGAACTCCCTGTATTTGAAAGCATTTTTGAACTCTACGTGTAATTGTACGTCTTTTATTATATGGTTAATATCAAAAAAACTAGTAGTTTTAAAGATAATTTGATTTGTAAGAAAAATTGGACATTTTTGCAAACGTCAGTGTATTGTCAAAATTATTACTTAAATTTTGATTCCAGGTTTTATATCTTTTATCCTGGGTTAAGTATATAAAAGTCAAATAAATACATCTACTATGAAACATTAAAAAATAGCTTACAGGGTGTATTTTCGTAGATCCAAAGTTACAAAACTTCATATAAAAAATCTCACTTTTTTTAAAACACCTTGTATATTTATCTGTCACCTTTTAGCTCCTCCAAAAACCTTCAGCTTTTGATAGTAATGTCCTATACCTATCTGTGATAGTTTTCAAAATATCTTGGTTTTCCTGGTTTTTATATTCTAATATTAAATAAGTTATATGTAATTTACATAATAGTGAGGTTGGCCATGCAAAAAAGGCAATTTTTATCTGCCTCGCCCAAAGCTAAAATCATATTTATTAATTCATTTTTCGAATAATTCATTTAAGTTTATTTCGAAAACTGTCACAGATAGGTATAGTACATTATTATCAAAAGTTGAAGGTTTTTGGAGGAGCTAAAAGATGACAGAAAAATATACAGAGTGTTCCATTAAAAAAAGTCAGATTTTTAATATGAAGTTTTGCAACTTTGGACCTACCAACAAAAACACCCTGTAAGCTATTTTTTCAATGTTTCATAGTAGATGTATTTAATTGACTTGTACTTAACCCAGGATAAAGATATAAAACCTGGAATCAAAATTTGAGTAATAATTTTGACAATATACTGACGCTTGCAACTGCCCAATTTTTCTTACAAATCGAATTATCTTTAAAACTACTAGTTTTTCGGAAATTAACCATATAATAAAATAGACGTACAATTACACGTAGAATTCAAAATTGCATTCAAATATTCTATTTAAAAAAATGTACCATTTTGGCGGCCTACTTTGTGGGCGCACTCTGTATAATTTATTACAAATATTTGTAAAATGTGGAGAAAATTCAACCATATCATAATACAAAAGCACTATATCGAAAAATCTTATCTTCAAGGCATCAAATTACTCCGCGCAATCGTTGACTCACCCTGTACATTTGAATTTTAATTTTATATAGTGAACACCTTGCAACTGAATTAAGGGGTTAAGGAAGTGGCGACTTAAGTAGGTTACGTCCGAATTTTGGAGTTAAAAATTTTATTAGTTACGAGAGATAAAAATGAAGCCAGAGTTTGGATTTCCAATTTTATTTAATATGCGTATGAGGTGGGACTTTCACGTCGTACAACCTGTTTTCATTGACGAGGATAGGACAACCCTGGCACTTCCGGAATAAGAAATCAACCCTCTGCCTAGCGCCAACGGTCCTTTCGGGGGACGGATGAGCGGGTATAGAGCGGGGTACTCTTTTATCCGGTAGGGGGGGGGGTGTGAAATGGCCGAAATCGGGACATCACTCCGTTAAAGACCCTAGTTCCCTTGAAGAAGGTGATGGACGGGGACACATCTATTTGTATGAATTCTTCGGATGCTAGATATTCCGGATCTCCGGGGAAGACAGTATTCATGGAACCCTACAAAAAGCGTGGTAATTACTAATAACAGCAGAAAAGTTAGAAAACTTAAAAAGGGACATTGAACGAAATAGATTGGGTATTATTGGAGTAAGCGAAATAAGGTGGGAGGGAAGCATTTTGGTTAATGAAGAGGTATAGTTAAAAGTATGGAGAAGGTAATTTGTGACGGATATAGAATAATAGCAGCAAGACTAAGTACTACTCCAAAAAGTCTTTTTGTTGCGCAAGTGTACATGCCAACTAGTGATTACGAAGGTATTGAAATAGAGGAAATTGACGAGAAAATAGAATCTCTAATGGGGAAAGAAGGGAGTGTTGCAAAATAGTGATGGGGGACTGAAACGCTAGTATTGGAGAAAGTAGCAGAGTG